GGGCCGCCATGATGAGTGTGGCAGCTCCTTTACCTCCTGGGCCCCCTTGGCGAGTAGGGCTGGCGCCACGTAATCTGGGGCTTCCACGGTTTTAATGTATTCTTTTCTCTAGAAGCCTTCTGGAATAGACAGAGCCTGTCTCCTCCTAGCCTAGAGCTCAGCCTGCAGCAGCCCAGGAGGCAGGGAGGAGTCTGGGGCTGGTGCTTCAGCCTTGCCTTGCTCACCATGTGGCTCCACTTCACCTCACCTCGCTCCTCTGCCCTGCCTCGCCTCTCCATAGGGCTGCTCCAGAGAAGGGCTGCGCGTGACTGACCAGGCACGAGGCAGCTGCTCCTGCCCCACAGCTTCCTCTCAGGCCTCGTCGCCACGCTCTCCCCCACCTGCTCGGGTGCCCCCAGGTGTCCTGTGGTCCCCTCACCACCAGCTGGAGCTCCCAGTCTCTGGCACTGTGCCGCTCTTCTTAGTGCGATCTTCATGCCAGCAGTGCGGCCAGGTGGCTCCCTGCAGGGCTGGTGTGGCTTCGCGCTGGCAGAGAGCAGTCCCCCCCAAGCCGGTGCTGTAAACACTGACACCCTCCTGAAATTAAATGGAAAAAGAAAATAGATGTGTTTGCTTTGAAAATAACTTGTAATTGGTAAGTTTCAAGAAGCTGCATGCAGCTTTCTGGTTATCTGTGTTGCTGTGGAGATACTAATGGGACAGCCAAGCGGCCTACAGGCCAGTCACACCTGGGCCTCCAGAGATCAGAGTGCAGAGCTGCCAAAATCAAGCAGCTAAATAAACAGTGGTTTATCTCAGAGGTGCATGGGGAGGACGAGAGGCAGCAGCCATGTGTTGCAGCAGGAAAAGTTCTGTGTGGGTATGAGGAACACACTCCACGGGAGAATGGTTGTTCCGCCTCCAGCCCTGGAGGCCACTCTTGTGACTGGACAAGGCTTGGGCGACCTGACCCGACGTTGAAGCTGTGCTTTAGCGGGAGGTTGGCATCAATGTGGTCCCTTCCAATCGAAATTATTCTGTAGTTCATTGTGTGAAGGGAAACTTAATAGCGAGATGAGAATGATCTGTATATTGTAATTGCAAGTGGCTATAAGCCTGATTAGACTATTAATGTTACAGCAACTTCAGGAGCACGGTTACAAAGTCAAATCGTTTGGAAATGGAGAGGAAATGAATTGACACTGTTCCTTTTTTTTTTTTTTTAACAAGTGGTGAAAGAGTTTGCCTTCTCAACTCAAGGCCAGACTCTGACCTGAGAAAACCTCTGTAAGCTTGTGTTGGGAGACGGCTTTAAGTGGTTTAGTACTGTATTTAAATCTGCATTTTATCTCTTTCTGATTGCACTGGTAGCCATGGGTCAGCCTCAGAATTTGCTTGAATTAAGAAACGATTAGCAGGTTCAAAGTCATATATTGCTGGTGTTAAGAATGTATATATACATATGTAAATGAAACCAGTATTGTAATCAATGGTCTGTCTCTGTTTTTCTATGTAACAAAATGAAAAAGAAGTAAAAGAGTTTTTTAACTTTCCATTTTAGACACTTTTATTACTTGTTTTTGCTTCCAGGGACCTTATTAGGAGTGATTTGTTTGTTTAAGTGACTTAAATATTTTTCTTTGTTAACCCTTCCTGTCCTGTGTTCAAACACATTTTGGCTGTGCTGTTTTAAATGTTAAGGTGGTCTTTTTGCTCCTCCAGGGCTTGTTTTTATCACATGACAGCTCTTAGTTGTATATAGCCTATGTGTGCAGTTTGCAAGGGATGATGCTCTGGGCTCTTTGTATTTATTTGGCTTTGGTTTATGGTCATTCTCCTTTGGACAGTTGCAAAACATATTTGCTATTAGTTGTGCCATCATCGCAAATCTATAAACAGTGACAGTGTATGGCAGCTAGTACAATCAAGTCCTGAAGGGTACGGTGTACGTGCTACAGGTTGAAAGAGGAGGATGGATGTGGTGTTGGTTGAAGTAACAAGCTGTTAGCTTTTGAAAGCTTCTCTTTTGCAGATGGTTTCTATTAGCAAACTCTTACCCTGTTAAAGCAATGCATTTCGGTGGCATTACTTTTATTGTTGAAACTATAAGAGTGGTAAGAAATCAGTACCGCCATCGCATGGGGACTGCAGTCTTGTGCATGACTGGTGGCCCAGAGGGAATAAGGTATCGTCTGGACTGTCCTGTGGGTTTTGCGTGGTAGCAGCAGGATCAGGAAGGGATGAGTGAGAGTGGTTCCTTGGGGCAGAGGAAGATAAGAGAGGAGGAACAACAGCAGAGAAGTGGTTGCAGAGCCGTCCCAGGCTGCTGGACCTCCTTCGGCCAGGAGCCAGGGAGGTCTGTTCTGCCTTCAGACATGTCTGAAATCACAAACAGTTTTGTTTGTTAATGTGATCCACTGGACGGGTGTCTGTCTGCACTGATTACTGATTGCAGGGCTTAAATGCTGCCAGGGAA